AGATGCTGTGGGGTTTAGTCCTCATTTGGTACAGAGAAATTAAGGTACTTTTATCTCTTGAACACTAGCAGGTGGACTAAAGGAGCAGGAGGTTTGTGTTCTACATGTGGTGAGAGTGTAACAATACATATGGTTAGTATGTAGATGTGTGCTAGTGGTAGCCTGTAGTTCACATTGGAAAAGGAGATGGAGGAGTATGGTGAATGGAACTAGCAGGGTTTTATGGCCTATAGGTGGAAGGAGAGTTGGCTTATGAAGAAAGGTTAAATTTAGAATCTCAATTTGTTAAAAAGTGAGGAAACACTAATGTTTAACTAACATTTTTAGTGCAATATTCTCAATTTTTACGTAATTTAACAGAATTTTTGCATAGAAGCTTCCTTGTCAGTGAAAGTATTATTTATAATCTTAAATTTGTAAGGGTATGTCTATACTACAAAATTAGGTTGATTTTATAGAAGTTGACTTTTAGAAATTGATTTTATACAGTCGATTGCGTATGTCCACACTAAGCGCATTAAGTTGGCGGAGTGTGTCCTCACTATCGTGGCTAGCATCAACTTACGGAGTGGTGCACAGTGGGTAGCTATCCCACAGTCTCCGCCGCCCATTTGAATTCTGGGGTAAGTTCCCAATGCCTGATGGGGCAAAAACATTGTCGAGGGTGGTTTTGGGTACATGTCGTCAGTCAACCCTCCCTCTGTGAAAGCAATGTCAGACAATCATTTCGCCCTTTTTCCCGTGCAGATGCCGTACCACGGCAAGCATGGAGCCCGCTCAGCTCAGCTCACCGTCACCACTGCTGTTGTGTCCTGGGTGCTGCTGTCAGCAGACGGTGCAGTAGAACTGCTAACCGTCGTCATCCGCAGCTTCCACTGCAACTCTGCTCTTGTAAATGAGCTCAGTCTCAATAGCAAATTTCTACAAGTTGTCAGAAATCTGCACTGTGCTAACCGTCATCATTCACCGCTTCCACTGCAACTCTGCTCTCCTGCAGATGCCATAGCACAGCAAGCATGGAGCCTGCTCAGCTCACCGTCACCGCTGCTGTTGCGAGCATTGTAAACACCTCACGCGTTATCCTTGAGTATATGCAGAACTGGGCTAAGAAACACCAGCACGAGGAAGATTTTGATGAGGACATGGACAGACATTCCTGAAAGCACTGCCTGTGACAATTGGGACATCATGGTGGCACTGGGGCTGGTTGATACAGTGGAATGCCAATTCTGGGTCAGGCAAACAAGCACAGACTGGTGGGACCACATAGTGTTGCAGGTATGGGATGATTCACAGTGGCTGCAAAACTTTCGCATGCGTAAGGCCACTTTCCAGGAAAGTGGCCTTACGGGAACTTTGTGAGTTGCTTTCCCCCACCCTGAAGCGCCAGAATACCAAGATGAGAGCTGCCCTGACAGTTGAGAAGCGAGTAGCGATAGCTCTATGAAAGCTTGCAAGGCCTGACTGCTACCAGTCAGTCGGGAATCAATTTGGAGTGGCCAATTCTACTGCGGGGGCTGCTGTGATCCAAGTAGCCAATGCAATCGTTGACATTCTGTTATCAAGGGTAGTGACTCTGGGAAATGTGCAGGTCATAGTGGATGGCTTTGCTGCAATGGGGTTCCCTAACTGTGGTGGGGCAATAGATGGAATACATATCCCCATCTTGGCACCGGACCACCTGCCAACCAGTACATAAACTGCAAAGGGTACTTCTCAATGGTGCTGCAAGCACTGGTGGATCACAAGGGATATTTCACCGACATCAACGTGGAATGGCCAGGAAACGTGCATGATGCTCGCATCTTAGGAACTCCGGGCTGTTCGAGCAGCTGCAAGAAGGGACTTACCTCCCAGACCAGAAAATTACCGTTGGGGATGTTGAAATGCCAATAGTTATCCTTGGGGACCCAGCCTACCCTTTGCTCTCATGGCTCATGAAACCTTATACAGGCAGCCCGGACAGTAGTAAGGAGCAGTTCAACTATAGGCTGAGCAAGTGCAGAATGGTGGTAGAATGTGCCTTTGAACATTTAAAAGCTCACTGGCGCTGTTTGCTGACTAGGTCAGACCTCAGCACAACCAACATTCCCATTGTTATTACTGCTTGCTGTGTGCTCCAAAATATCTGAGAGAGTAAGGGGGAGACGTTTATCGCGGGGTGGGAGGTTGAGGCAAATCGCCTGGCATCCGATTATGAGCAGCCAGACACCAGGGAGATTAGAAGAGCACAGCTAGGCGTGCTGTGCATCAGAGAGGCTTTGAAAACCAGTTTCATGACTGGCCAGGCTTCGGTGTGACAGTTGTGTGCGTTTCTCCTGTAAGCCAACCACCCTCCCCCCTTCGAAATAAAGTAGCTACTGTTTTGAAACCATGCATTCTTTCTTTAATAATTAAGCATGTCCGTTTGCTCCCCCATTAGTCTCAGCATCACATCCTGCCTCCGCTCTTCGTGCTCCCTCAATTCTTTCCTGGCCTCTGCCACTGAATGCCTCCATGCATTGAGCTGTGTCCTATCAGTGCGGGAGGACTGCATCAGCTCGAAAAACATGTCATCGCAAGTGCGGTTTTTTTGCCTTCTAATCTGCGATAACCAGAGACGGAGATGATAGGAGGAGCGTAGAAACATCTGCACCTGTGGGGAGATAAAAAGGGAAAGTAAAATTGGGTTGGCTTCTTACGCCTTCAAAACATATGGGAATGTTTTCAAACTGCAGAGCCCCCCCCTTTCCCAGAGCAAGCAATGGTTGGGTTTCACATTTAGGAGGGGCTGCAGTATTCAGGTAAATGTGCAGCACACACCTACCCCCACCCCACCGCGTGGCTATTCTCTGGGATGATCCCCTCCCCCCGCCACGTGGCTATTCTCCGGGATGATCCCTTTTAGCCAAGCGCAAACAGCCCAGCATGAACGGGGCCCTTTTACTGTTTCCTTACAAAAATTCCCCTAATTCAACCAGGTGACCATGAACACTATTGCTTTTAAACTCTGTACTGTAGTTACATATGTGCACTCACCAGAGGTGCCTTCTCCGGCTTCAGGGTCGGGGATCCCGCCTTGGGAGGTATTGGCTCCAGGATGATGAAAAGTTCTTGGCTGCCAGGAAGAACGGATTCACCGCTTGCCTGCTGTGCATTCTCCTTCTCCTCCTCTTCCTCATCCACAAAATCCTCCTCCGTGTTCCGTGAGACTCCCCCCATTGCAGGTGTCCACAGACAGTGGTGGGATAGTGATAGGGTCCCCCCCTAGAATGGCATGCAGCTGTTCATAGAAGCAGCATGTGTGGGGCTCTGACCCAGAGCGACCGTTTGCCTCCTTTGTCTTTTTGTAGGCTTGCCTGAGCTCCTTAACTTTCACACGGCACCGCTGTGTGTCCCTGGTGTAGCCTCTGTCCAACATGCCCTGTGAGATTTTGGCAAATATATTAGCATTTCTTCTTTTGGATCGGAGTTCTACCTGCACAGATTCTTCTCCCCATACAGCAATCAGATCCAGTGTCTCCCTTTCGGTCCATGTTGGAGCTCGTTTGCGATTCTGGGACTGCATGGTCACCTGTGCTGCTGAGCTCGCCACGCTGACCAAACAGGAAATGAAATTCAAAAGTTCCCGGGGCTTTTCCTGTGTACCTCGCTAGTGCAGCGGAGTTCAAAGTGCTGTCCAGAGCGGTCACAATGGAGCACTCTGGGACAGCTCCCGAAGGCCAATACCATCAATTTGCGTCCGCACTACCCCAAATTCGACCCAGCAAGGTCGATTTTAGCACTACTCCCCTCGACAGGGAGGAGTACATAAGTTGATTTTAAGAGCCCTTTAGGTTGACGGAACAGGGTTGGTTGTGTGGACGCGGTCATTTTTAAATCGACCTAACGCAGCTAAATTGGATCTAACCCCGTAGTGTAGACCAGGCCTAAGTTGTTTCTACTTCTAACTTGATATGCGTTCTCATCAGTCCAAGGGACATCCAGTGTAATCAAGTATTTTAGGCTTGATGTAAGTTAAAGCTTTGCCTGCATAAACAGAGGAGCTTGTTAACTGTTGCGAGCTCCACATTTCAAGTCTCAAAATGACATGTTCCACCAGCAAAGGTTGGTGGGCAAAGGGGGATTATAAATTACAAGTGAGGGTTATGAATGATACAGCAAAGTACAGGTGTTCTGACACATAGTTTCAGTAGATTTGCTCACAACTTCATAAAGCATTTTTTAAAAGATTGTACTTAATTCAAAATCTAGCCAGGTGCTTCTTCCATGAGGTTCAGTGCAATAGTCCCTTCCCAGGAGCTACGCACAGCCTTTCCCCTAACTGCATTAATACAAATACCAGATCATAAAAAGACAGGTGTTTTACTACATCAAACATTTATTGTTTTCATGAGACACATTGAAGTTTTCCCTGTCAGCAGGAACCCAACAAGTTGACTCTGGAGGGGACAGAGTGCAAAACTCCCATAAAGTATATGCAGCAAAATACCTTTTTGATAACCCCTTTGCAGGGAATGATCGATCAATCTCACTGCAACTAAAAACACAGTATTACAAAATATTTACAAAAGACAACCAAAATGGAACATAAAAACTTAATGACCAGGTGTGTGTATGAAATGTTGCCAACGTATTTCCAGTACTTCAGGAGTTTATTCTAGCACCCGACCCAAAGCATTTGGGGGGTGAAAAGGTTCCAGTGGGAGTGCCAGACATACTCGTCTTTCAGTACCAGTGTCCCGCAAAATAGAAGAAAGACCCAAGAAAGGTTCCATCATAGTGTCACTTCTGGATTTTAGTCTCCTCCCGCAAAGGAGACAGAAGTGGCAATTCTGGCTCTGAAAGGAAGGCCCCCACCAGAACCTGTCTGCAGTGGTCTCTATTCTGAGCCTGTTGGTAAGTTAACCTGTGGGTAGGTGGAATATTCCATCACGCAACCCCCCTCCCCACACACACTGAAAATGGGGCAGGGGTGGTCTCCTTCAGTGACTGGGTCTATTACAGGAAATACACCTCCCCCCCCAAACAGTAGTCTGATTTGATCTGAGCAGGTAGGAGGGTTGACCGGGATGAGGGTACGTCACAGTAGCCCCTCCATTTCCTTCATGAAGGCTTCATACACATCATCCTTAGTCTGCACAGAGACAGGGGCAGAGGAGCCAACCTTAGGGGTTGCTTTGGTTAATTGGAGAGCTGGCTCATCATCATGTTTTCTCTGGGAGACAGCAGAAGCCCCCTTATTCTCACGTCGCACTCGCAGGGCAGTGGGTACAAAGCGGGTGATCTCTGCTTTGGGGTTGGTAATTTGCGGCTTGGCACTGATTGTGGCTGTGGCTTTCTTCTCAATGGTAGCTCCACTGGTGTCATCCGCTTTGGGGCGCTGGATCAGACTGGGTGGGGCACTCAGCACCCCTGGGTTTGGAATGGGAGCCGGTGGGAAAAGGCCTGGTGGAGGCCCCAGAGGTGGACGCAACATGCCCGGACGAGGAGGAGGGATACCTGTGGACGGGGGGACAGAAAGTTTGAGCAAGTGGAAACAGCACTTGGAAACAATCCAGAGAAAGCTCGTAAATTGGAGGCAGGGCCCCCGAGTTAGAGTAGCAGTAGGTAATCTTACAAATTGTTTTCAAGCCCCTCAACATCAGATTGTTCTCCATCAGGAAGAATGTGCACACACATTTAGGAAACATACAAGGCTAGATATTGGCCTTGTATGGAGGTTAAGGCCCCAGTGTATTCCCCTCCCTTGAATTCCTATACATACATATACACACACACACACACACAGTATGTATATATATATATATCTCCAGTGCTAGAACACAAGGAGCAACCTCCCATCATGTGTATGAGAATTTCAGAACTATCAGTAGCATTGATCAGTGGGGTGTAAATAGTCCCTGCTTCAGGAGTGGACAGCTGCAGGGACTGTCCTTTTGTTCTGTGTTTGTACAGTGTCTAGCACAATGGGGTCCTGGTCTATGGCTGGGGCTCCTAGGCCCCAAGAAAATACAAATAATAATGTGAATTCTAACAGGGAAGTCAATGCAAGAGGCAATCTGGACCAGTTCTGATATATAGTACAATGAAAACAAACTTTGACATAACGGGAATTCAGACCTCCAGGCACAAGTCTGCACAGAACAGCAGGGACTTAGCCATTGATATTCAATGGAAAGTAACAACTCCAGGAGACCTGCAATGGAGGGGGAACAGGTTACGCCGCCCAATGCCGTGCTTGTAGTAATGTAGCCTGAATGTAGGCACATAAGTAGCATGGGATTGTCTGAGGCCAGGGCACTGGGAAAGAACGTTTCCCCATACCACATGTACTAACTCAGGCACCAGTGGGAAGGTTTAAAATGAAATACACATAATAAGGAAGCAGAAAAATTTACCTGGTGGTGCTGGAGGTGGCAAACGAGGTGGAGGTCCACGTGGGGGAGGGCCGGGTGGCAGTCCTGGAGGTGGGCCTGGTGGAGGGCCAGGGGGCCGGCCAGGTGGAGGCCCTGGTGGTAAGAGTCGTGGTAAAGGCCCACGCAGACCTGGCAATCCTGGAGGTCTCAGGAATGGAGGAGCCCCTGAAAATATACACACAAAACAAAAGCTATTGAACTCATGGGCATAAAAACATGGCATCATGTAATATCAAACAGCACCTGATTAAGGGGAGCTGTCTCCAATATCAGCCAACCCTCTACATAACTGATCTTCTAGTCTTATGGTTTCTTAACCCCTTAGACAAAGGCTATGTCTATACTGTGTGTACAGATATTCATGCTTGCTCGCATTGAGCTAGTGAAAGTATAAACAGTAGTGCAGCCAGGGTAGCTTGAGTAGGAGAGGCATGTCTGAGCCATGCTGAGTACATATCTACCAGTTTCAGGCAGGTTTGTACTCAGCACAGTTCATCCCTGCCTCCACTGCCACTACCTACCTTTCCATAGCTACGCTATTATTTTCTACTAGCTCGATGAGTGCTAGCACCAATACGTATTCATGAGCAAGAGAATCACACCCCTATCTTGTAGCGTAGGCACAGCCCCAGACAATGTGGTGTCTTGGCTGGTCAAACCAAGTCAGTTCTCTCTCTTCTCACCACAATTGTCCCTTCTGTTATCTTATAGCAGAGGCTCCAGTGCTGAGCTGTATTCCCAAGAACACAACATGCTGATGTGATCCTTCCAGTGGGCAGGTATTTGAAAGAATCACTTTGACAAGCTGGTCCCTGAACTAGAGTCATCAGAGATTTCCCATTTGAAAAATATGTCAAGATTACATTAAAGCCTATAATCCTGTCATAATGACATTACCAGATTTTACCAATGTTTTATCCATTCTGGTAGTGCCTCTTTGGCAACTGTGAAAGCCAGTTACTTGTGGGGATTTTATGCTTTCTTCTTGATGTAGCTGACTGTGCAATATATTATGATGGAGGGTATTTTCTTCCTGATCCCAAGTGGTCATCAGCTTTTGGCTTGAAGCATAAGAACTAAACCTGGGCAGCCTCATGAATCTTAGGGACTGTCACTGAAGAGATCACTTTTCATATAAAATAAATAACTTTTGGGAAATTTAATGAGTTAATATACTGCAGTATCAAATTCCACAGTTGCGTAAAAAAAGTGTCCTTTCCTCTATTGTGGCAACATCACAGATTGGCAAAAGGGGAAATCCTATTTCTCCTATACAGACAGCGTTTACAGAGACATTCAAGTGCTCCATATCACACTACGTTCCCAAGACATTGTATTCTAGTACCCACACTTCCTTTTCTTGAGGAATCTGCAGTCCCACCTAGTAGCTGTCTGGGAGACTCTCTCCCCACCATGTACTGCAGTGACTCATTAGCTGTTCTCTCAAATGTCAACAATGCCTGAATTTAAATAACTGAAGATAAGGACTTCAATGTAAGAGCTTTCACTCTGGAATCTGCTTCCCCCACTGTCCTGGGAGAGTCAGACTTTGTTGATTTCATGGAAACAGGAAAGGTGGAGGGCTGTTGTGGGTTTGGGTTTTTTTTGTTTTGTTTTAGGGAGGGTGAGAGGAGCAGAACTGAAGGACATGCCTTATGTTTACTTATTAAAATCATGTTTGTTATTCACTGTATGTGTGCACAGGAATAGCACTGGACTCATGTTATATATTGTTCTAGATGTCCTAACTCTATCAAAGCTAATATTCTATTTAATGAAATTAGATGGCTAGAGAACGGGTTACAGAGATTTTCATTTTTAGGCTAATTTCTGCAATCCAGTTCAGATAGGTAGTGACCAAATCACTCCCCATTGATCTATGTGAAATAAGTTGCTGTCTCCCTCCAGTTCCTGGTAAAATAGGTGCTTACATTGCAAAACCACCATCAGAACAGGCACCAATTGGCCATCTGGCTCACTAGGGAGGCCCTCTACTGAATTAGAATGGTATCAAATTTCCTTCACCTAAGTATGACGGGTTTCAGGGCTGGTCTACACCCAGCCGCTAGTTCGGCGGCTGGGGATCGAAGTTCCGGGTTCGACTTATCGCGTCTGGTCTGGACGCGATAAGTCGAACCAGGAAGTGCTCGCCGTCGACTGCGGTACTCCAGCTCAGCGAGAGGAGTACCGCGGAGTCGACGGGGAGCCTGCCTGCCGCGTGTGGACCGCGTCTGAACCGCGGTAAGTTCGAACTCAGGTATGTCGAAT